GAGAAATGTTGCATGTCCATGCCGAGCTATGGGCTATGCATGCGTATTTAGTGCAGGGACAGAGCTAAGGTAGTTTTGCAAACATGTACATGCACAGAGCTGGCTGCCTCCCACAGACCCAAACCACAGAGAAGGTGGGCTTAGATTTCTGAAGACTGTTGGGTCGCCTGTGAAAAACTGACTGTCTACTTTCCACATCCACACTGCTTTTTCCCCCCAAATATTACTATTTCCAGTTTTAATCTGTTAGATTTTTTTACCTTAGCGTTTTTTAAAAATTACTAAAAGTTTATTTGTCAAATTAGGATGACTAAATAATAACGCAGATAATACTAACAGAACCAAAAAAAGAAAAGAAAAACAAAAAGAGAATCAAAATCCAAAAAATCAACCAACAGTACAGTTTTACTACTTCAAAAGAAACAATTGGAGGTACGATGATCAAGAAGTAAAAAACTGGAGTAACCAAGGGGTTAAAGATACAGTTTACACTGGGGAGTTCTCTATAATATGCTCCTCCTTCCCTAGCAGTGCTGCCAAAAAACATCTGACAGGAAACATAAGATTAAGTTTGTCCTACCTAAGTGAACAAAGAGTGCTCAGAACAGGCAACCAGTTCACTGCAGAGCAGGAACTTTTCTAATCCTGCTGGAATCTGCAGTGCTGCTCAGAAAATATTACCAAAGTTGTTTTCTCTACTTTTAACATCTTGCTTCTGGATCATCTCACTCATTTCAGTCACACTGCAGTTCTTGCTGCTTCTCCTATAAAGGTTAACTTAAAGCTCCAAACATAATCATGTGGAAAATGGACATTATTGATTCCTATGGTCCATTGTTCCCCCATTCTAAGTCCCTGAAGTTCAAGTTCAATCTGGAATTACATCATGTCTGGTTTCTCCTGGTTACCAGACGGCTTGAGACGTGACCACAGCTACAGAAAAAACAAACAGCCTTCTTCACGCTTCAGCTCCCCTATCGATACAAACATAAACTTTTTTTCTTTCTCTCAAGTATGCTTCAAGTATGGAGCATGGTTAATTTAGAGATTAAGTTCCAAATTAGATTATCTAATGGCATCTTAATGGATTGCTGACCTATTTCCTGTGGGATGGCAGCATGCAAGTCTGGCTTGAATACAATTAATTTCTTAGGAAGTATTCTGAAGATGTTTGCCTAGATGGACAGGAAACAACATTCTGCACATCTTTCTGCATTACGGAGTTGGGAAAAACTATTAGACTTAACTATTAGAGTTAGCCTTGATAAAGATCAGAAATCATTAGGATTTCTTTCCGTGAATACTTTTACAGTCAGGATACTTCCATGTTTTTCTTCTCAAATTGTAATTAATTGATACTTCTATTCCAAACCATTGCCCAAGGGGATTGGAATGGGGGGGGGGGG